TTCGAAATTTGAGCTTTGACTTGAAGTTAACTAGCGCTTAATCTAAACATGCTATTTTCTTACGAATCAATTGGGTCTACTTTAGAATTGAATTTCTAGGTTCAGGAACATTAATAAAAACATATCATGGGGCTTCATTTTCATTTCGCATTTTTGCATGGTGATGAAAAACCGACAAAAACTGATAGTATCGTAAAGTAACTGTGGGATATTCGGGATTAATAATAATGTGTTGGCCAAAGAACCGTGCATAAATCTAGAGTCAACATTTGATTAAGGCTTTGTGGATGAAACAGTTTTTTTAATGCAGCAATATGCTTCTCAGCTTCAAAACTATAAGGACAAGAAACGATTCAAATATATGTCTGTCAATTTCAAAATCGTTCATACTACAAACGTTTCAAATATATGTCTGTCAATTTCAAAAATCGTTTATACTACAAACGTTTCAAATATATGTCTGTCAATTTCAAAAATCGTTTATACTACAAACGTTTCAAATATGTCTATCATTTTCAAAATCGTTCATACTAGAAACAATTCAAACACATGTTAGTCAATTACAAATTCGTTCATACTAGAAACGATTCAAATATATGTCTATCAATTTCAAAAATCGTTTATACTAGAAACGTTTCAAATATATGTCTGTCAATTTCAAAATCGTTTATACTAGAAACGATTCCAATATATGTCTGTCAATTTTTTAAAACGTTTATACTATAAACGTTTCAAATGTAAGTCTGTCAATTGCAAATATCGTTCATACTAGAAACGTTTCAAATATATTTCTGTCAATTTCAAAATTGTTTATACTAGAAACGTTTCAAATATATGTCTGTAAATTTAAAAAATATGGTAATGTCTACACGAAAAGTATATTTCGGCTATGGATCTGTTCTCTTTTGTGCTAGCTAGAAAAATATTTTTAAAAAAAAATAAGCAATTTTACTGTCATGTCTCTAACTGAGAGAACATTGGTCTCATTGTCCAATGTCTACCATTAGCTAGTTTTTTTTCATAACCGCCACAATTATATGTACTTAGGTTGAAAGTTCAGACACGGAATGTTATAAAGGAAAAGCTCAGTTTGTGAAATATTGTTAGATTCCGTAATAATGGAATAATGGAATTGTTTGCAGCTTTGTTTTTCAAGATCTTGGCATATTTGGAGAGGAATCAGATTCATTTGTAGACGTCTCTGACGAAGATACGAAGAAAGAAGCAAATGTCCGGCGCCTAAGCTGACAGGTTGAAATTAATAAACGCAATGTAATGAGATAGGTAACAAGTATTGATACTTATTTCTAAATAACCAAGCTCTGGTGATATATATATATATATATATATATATATATATATATATATATATATATAAATAAATATGTGGTGCAGTTCAATTTATATTACATTACAATGAATCATTCATATAAAAATTAGTAAAGTTAATGATATAAAATGGCGAATTCCTTCGCTAATAAATTTTAAAAGATACATTCACCTTCTGATCACTCAATGAATATTATGATCCTTGTTTTTTAAAAATTATAAGCTGTATAAGGTCTTTCTTAAATACGCAAGTACTTTCGACTGTACATTCAGTCATCTTCAGGCATTTTATATCATTAACTTTACTAATTTACCTTTTGTATAAATGATTCATTGTATATATATATATATATATATATATATATATATATATATATATATATATATATATAGAGAGAGAGAGAGAGAGAGAGATAGATAGATAGATAGCCTTGCGATAGATAGATAGAAACAGACACAACTAGATAGACTGATAGAAACAGACCTATATAGATAAATAGATAGATATGAACAGACTCTAATAGATAGATAGATAGATAGATAGATAGATAGATAGATAGATAGATAGAAACAGACACAACTTGATGGACTGATAGGAACAGACCTATATAGATAAATAGATAGATATGAACAAACAAACTAGATAGATAATAGATAGATAGATAGATAGATAGATAGCATTCTGTTTCACAAAGTAATAGTTCATAAGAAAAGAAAGAGAAGCTGAGCGGGACTTTATCTTTACATTTAGAATATGGAAGATATAAGAGTGATTCGACTCCGTGGAAGTAGCATGGTACGTCCCCGCTGTAAATGTCATGGAACTAAAGAATGGAGATCATCTAAACATTTACCATGGAAATAGCGAGAGAGTCGCGAAATTTTGAAACAATATGTTCACGTTAAACACCTCTAATTATCCTAACGACATAAAATACCAATTTCATACATGCCATCTTTTTGACAGCAAGGATAAACTATTAGTAATATCAGCTTCAACCGGATAAAAAGTGAGGGATCATTTTCCTGTAGTTGTTAACCAATATATACCATTATTATTATTATTATTTTTTTGGCTTGGATTAATCAATTATATCCATAAGCGCCCAAACAAATCAATAACTCTAATTTATTTGTAACCGCTGGAAATATAATTCTACTTTGTTTTTGTCAGGTTAGATAACGCAGTTTATTTTTTTTGTCTAACCATTGTGGAAAGTGGAATCGGTGAGACGAGTTCAAATTCAAATCTAGTCAGTAGCGTTCACTTTGATAATAATACTATCAGAAAAAGAATCGACCTTTCTCCTTTCCCTCCGGTTATGGGTTAAATAGTAGAGTAGACTTCTTTGACTGTCAACAAGTCTTAGAGAAGCAACACTCACAATTCAAAACAATGGAGACGGCAACGGGAAACAGTTCCAGTATCTTTCCCAAGAATAAGTGGCAATTCACAGAAAATGACAGAACATCATCTGTGAAGATGATATGATTATCTATGTGCCAAAGGGAGGTGGCATTTTTTAAAAATATAATGCATAAATTGAGTTGAAAATCTTCCAACCATAAAGTATATTTTTCTATATCTGTGAGATGAGATATTATGATTACCGTATTTCCCGGCTTACAAGACGCTGCAGCTTGGAAGACGCACCCTAATATTGGAAAGAAATTTCTAAGAAAAAAAAAGTCATTCTCATACAACAACACATTCGCTATGCACCCCTCACATACTGGCGCCACGTATTGTTTGCATTAATCATTCGTCCGATTTTGTTTGCATGGCAATGACATACTAGTTAAGAGCAGAAAGGCTTCCGCCGCTGCTAGTAAATAGAGCATGTTTAAGCTTGTGGCTCGGCTCCAGGAAGGTTTAAAGTTAGAAATACTTTTAACAGCTAAGTACTGAGGTTACATCATATAAAAGGCTGAATTAGATATATAGCTAACATTATAGTGTAATGAGTCAACATACAAATCCACATCCATATCTGTAAGCCAATTAGGTGACCGTCCAAGCTTACTTGAGCCTGGCCGTTGCCTTACATTCGCCTTGGAAGAACCACACGTGTTTTTCTTGGTATTTTTTAGGAAAAAAGTGCGTCTTGTAAGCCGGAAAATACGGTACTTACATTATTTACATTATACGGAATGTTATCCTCATTTTCATTGTCATTTTCACAACGTTTCGGCCTTTGTACGTTCCGGCTTTCTTCAAGGACACATGGACCAGTGGATAAAGGCGTTGGTTAGATCCAGTGACTAAGAACCAAAGAGTTGTGAGTTCAATCCCAGGTTACAACAGTGGTGAACAAAAAACTTGGGGAGTTGAGTTAAAGGGAAATAACTGAGATATCCGGAAGAGACACGGCACGTGGAACTAGAACAATCCACCCCGGTGGACGAAATAAAGGGTTCGGTCCGAAATTCCAATCACCTGAAGAAGGCCGGAGCGTACAAAGTCCGAAACGTTGTGAATACGGCAATTAAGACGAGGATAACAGTTCGAATAATTTAAATAATGTAAGTAATCAGGAAGTATAATTATACACTGTTTTCCATAACATTTTTCTTGTTATCAGAATGATTGATTGATTTTTTTTACGGCTTAGCAACCTATTAGCAGGCTATTTAAATCCAGAAAATATTTTTAGATTGTAAGAATTTTGGGAAAATAATAATGATTTACTGATACATGGTGGGGGGTATTTCCCAAAGTACCGAGCAGATTATAAACTTCCCGTGTAAGCTTTGATTTATTTATTTCTTTTCTACGGCTTACCAACCCTTTGCAGGTTATTTAAAGCCAGAAAATATTTTTATTTTGTAAGAATTTCTTTTCTTTTTTTTTTGAGATAATAATTATTTACTGATAAAATTCCTACTAATTAGCCCATAGCTGGGGGAAAGGATGGTAAGTGTGCCCCAGCCCTTGGTGTAAAACACTTCTCCAACGTAACCGATTGTTAGGGACGTCTTCCCACTTCTAGATGTCTATGTCCATCTCCCTCATGTCACTTTTGCAAACGCCCTTGAAGCGAAGATGAGGTCGATCTTGTGTCCTTTTGCCGTTGGCCAGTTCCCCATACAAAAAGACTTTGGGAAACCTCACATCATTAGACTGTTACTTCCCGTATTTTGCCGTCACAGCGAGGCGCCTCTGGAGTCTCCACTCCAGGGTGTAGGTCTGGACATGGCTTTATAAGAGATCGGCGGTTATCTATGTAGTACATCTCCTCTTTCCATGCCACTGATGTTGTCCAAGAGAAAAGTAGAACCCAACACAGCTTGGCACCGGTCTGGTCGCAGGAGTTACCAGAACGAAGTTAACCATTACATCGGAATGTCTTAGGGACCCCGCCTCCGGATGTATGCAATAATATGTCGGTTAATAGTTGGTTATTTTTGCTTAGCGGCATATCAACATCTCTATGGGTTATTTAATGCCAAAATCTAAATATTTTTTGTGCACAATTTTATTTTATTTTTAGCGATAATAATAGATTAGTGATACAATCTTACTAATTAACCCATAGCTGAAGAGGTGGATTCATGCCTTTCCCAAGAGTATTTGCGCGTATGTGAATATAACGAACCCGACTGGAATTGGAACCCGGCGCTCCGATTAATAATTCCGTATCGTATCCATTACACCACCCACACATCCAAGCTTATAGCACCTAGTATTCCCAAGGGGTCACCCATCTAGCTACTGACCAGACTCAACGTTGCTTAACTTCGGTGATCGTAACTAATAATATCATTCGACTTTCCTCGCTGATACCCGTTACACGACTCGCACATCATACAGCCTATAGTATACGAAGTTTTAAAGATACAAATCATGTTTTTAGTAAATATAAACATCGTACACTCCATGAACTATACTAACCTGAATTTTCTTTTTAAACTGAAAATAAAACTTTTTTTTTTGTCATTGACAGAAATTTGAATCGATTATTTGTTTTTATGAATCATTTTTTTTTTCTCTATTATTACCAATTTTGCGCATTATTTTAATTTTTTAAAGATTCTCACGTAAAATTATCGAAAATAAACATGCAATTTCAGACATAAAACTGAAGTTCAGCCATTATATTTTCCAGGAACGAATAACAATTTGGCGTTCGTGTGTCGAAATAATCATTAAAAACAAAACAGAAACTACGTTCAGTTCTCGTTATAGAATATATACATCACAGAATTTACTTTTCTGCTATTTACTGAAATTAGATACGACACAAATCGAAGCTGGGTACGGGTAAGAAAATTGCGTTGCGCCAAAATTCTCTGCCTGACTGTCTGCACAGAAAATCAACATTTGAGAAAGTCGCTCTTACCTGGGTTCAGAGATCGACCTCAGTTACCAGTGCGGGAAAAATGAACAGTTAATTACTAGAGTACCAGTGACGTTAAAAATCACTGTACTAGAGAATAAATTCCGTCAAAAACTTTACTCCCGACTGAACTATTTTAGGCGCTTCGGTTTTAATTTATAAATTCATTTTTGATATTTCACAAGCATCTTCTTTTTTATTCATCCAGTAAACTTCCTTCCCTTGTTTGTTTGTTTGTTTCTTTCTTTCTTCTTCTTCTTCTTCTTCTTATTATTATTATTATTCTTCTTCTTATTATTATTATTATTATTATTCCTTTGATTTCTGTTGTATACTCATTTCTTCCAGGTCGCAAACGGAGACCTAAGGTCAGAAATGGCATCATGACATTTTCCACAGAACATTTTTGAGGAAAAAACAACAAAAAACCCTAAGATCACCCTTATTTTACACAGATCCGTATGGATAAGTTCAAAGAGGTCGTAATCTAGAGAGATCAATGTAACAACAGAGCAAATATTAATTAATTAAAAGAGACAACCAAAAGGTTCCATGACTATAATTCATTTCCTCAGAAAATATTTTTCTTGGTTCATTCATGTGACCTGACAAATCAGGAAAAATATATTTTCTGGGTAAATAAATTATAGTCATGGAAACTTAAGGATGTCTCTTTCTTTTTAAAAAATTAATTAATATATATATATATATATATATACAGAGAGAGAGAGAGAGAGAGAGAGAGAGAGAGAAAATTAATACAAGTAATAGATCCTTACTCGTCAGGACGTATGTATGTGTGACTTAAAACATTTTTAATTTTCGAATACAACCAGCACATTATGGCCGTGTTCAGTATTCATGCAGTTAATTGTTACTTTTTCGTCCTAATCATAAAAACCTTAACGACATCAACTTCGAACACGGCTATAATGTACTGACCATATTCGAGAATTAAAACTATGTCTACCTCTCATCATATTACCATACTAGGTCACAGTTATTTTAACCATGCCCAAATCCTTGAAACTGGCTAATAGCGCACGAAACGAACAATCATTTGAACAATTTCTTTACAGCCTAAGTCTGAAAACGAAATCTGTTGTTCGCACATAAGAAAACAAAAAACTTCAAAGAAATACCTTGTGTGTTATTTTTAATGAAACATATATGTATATGTTCGCACATTTTATCAGCACCTCCCCATAAATGGTTTGTGTGTTTGTGTTAGTGCGTGTTGGTCGATATAAGAAAAGCGACGAGATAATTTAAATTATTGTCACAATATTCATAATTTGATCGATTCTTGGAATTCTTCGTTTCGTATCTGAATTTTGCTATTCCTCGTCAGTTCTTTCTTTCATCATTCACCCATCTCTTTCTTTCTTTCTTTTTCTTTCTTTCTTTCTTTCTTTCTTTCTTTCTTCCTTTCTTTCTTTATTTCTTTCTTTCTTTCTTTTTTTTTTCTTCATTTCTTCCTTCCTTTCTTTCTTTCTTTCTTTCTTTCTTTCTTTCTTTCTTTCTTTCTTTCTTTCTTCCTTTCTTTCTTTCTTTGCTTTGTCTATCCATTCCTTTACTTTTTAACCTTTTCTTTTAGTTTTTCTCTCTTCTTATTAATTCATTCATTCATTCATTCTTTCTTTCTTCCTTCCTTTTTTCTTTCTTTCTTTCCTTTTCTTTCTTTTGTGTCTCTTTTTTAAATGTCTTTCTTTATTCTTCTACATCGCTCCTTATATTTTTAACATTTTTCTTTCATTTCCGTTTCTCTATTTTGTTTCAACTTTCCTTCTTTTCATCCTCTCTAATTGCTTTAACTTTCTTTTCTTTTCTCTTTTTCTTTCTTTCTTTTATCTGTGTCTCTACTTATTTCTTTAACTTTATTTTCTTTCTTTCTTTTCTTTCTTTCTTTTGTTTCCTCTTGCTTTCATTTTTTAACCTTTTCTTTTAGTTTACGTTTTTCTTTCTCTTTCTTTCTTTCTTTCTTTCTTTCTTTCTTTCTTTCTTTCTTTCTTTCTTTCTTTTGTATCTACCTTTGTCTCTAAATTGCTTTCTTTATTCTTCTTCGTCGCTCTATATTCTTTTAACGTTTTTCTTTCTTTCGTTTCTGTCTGTTTGTCTTTCTTTCTTTCTTTCTTTCTTTCTTTCTTTCTTTCTTTCTTTCTTTCTTTTTCTTTCTTTCATCTTTCTTTTTTCTGTGTCTCTACTTATTTATTCAACTTTTTTTCTTCACCGTCTCTCGTTTTTCTTTAATCTCTTTCCTATCCGAAAGTTTCTGCCAGGAAAATATTTTACAATCCGGTCGATATTGGTCAAGTTTTACGGATAATTGAGCATTTACTGATTACTTAAATATTGAGTATGAAATCACTCTCCAGCCCACACGTGCCCAGTCATACGCAATTATCTCCCTTGATGAGACAACTCGTTTTATAGGGAAATTAATTGGAAGTAAAAAAAAAAAAAAAAAAAAAACGAAATGTAAGAGAATGAAACGTAAATTTCACCTATTTACTAATAGACAGATGAATTGATTGCTGATTGACTCGAATGATAATCGAAGCAACATATTTGTTTCTTTATTTGATTCTGTTTATGTTTGGCTAAGCTTGTTCTTATTAAACTAAATTTATTGTTGCTTTACTATTCTGAAAATGTTTCGGCTATCTATCTATCTATCTATCTATCTATCTATCTATCTATCTATCTATCTGTCACATCATAATTTAACACTCTATATATTTATATATCGATGGATCGATCTATAAATCTCTATTCGTGCCATTGATGTCTATTGAATTTTAATTCAAATTACTGAAATTAGAAAGCGTTTTTGTTTTGTATATATATGATTACACGCACACACACATATACAACAAACGCAACACTAATACATACACATATATACATACATAAATTCATACATAAATACACACACACACACACACACAAAATATATATATATATATATATATATATATATATATATATATAGAGAGAGAGAGAGATAGATAGATATGTATTAAAGCGCGCCGTTCATACCTGATATTATGGATCGCATAAGGGCTTCTGGTTTGTTCGCTTGTTTTGTTTAATATATATATATATATATATATATATATATATATAGAGAGAGAGAGAGAGAGAGGGAGAGAGAGAGATAATATATATATATATATATATATATATATATATATATATATATATATATATATATATAATTTGACAGTATGGTAGGTATATTTATAGTAAAAGTGCTCAATTTCAGAGATGGACCATATGTAAAAAAAATTATAAATGTGGACATTGAAACTGAAGTCAACAACACCTAACGGCAACAATCAGTTTCATGCTTGAGCCTGACTGTCGAATTGGCCTGACGATTGACTTTATTCGTGTCGCCTTTAGCTGTTGACCTCGATGTCCACTTTTATGCATATATATATATATATATATATATATATATATATATATATATATATATATATGCGTGTGTGTATGTGTGTGTCTGTGTGCGTGTGTCTGTATATTTAGGCAGCAATCCTTCTTTCATGCACATTTCATTGAATACGTCAGACAAGTGTGTAAGCACAGAAATAGATAAAAGAAAGAAAGAGAAACTTTATATTTAGTGCCTATATGTGTTTAGGGTTGATAGATATATAAAACACAGGGATATTAACCCTGACAGGATGCACATTTTCTTTTTTAACACTATATTAATGTCAAAAACGCATAAAATTGAATAAAAGATATTTAGATTTCGGCATTAAATAGCCCAGTGGGATTGATATGCCACTAAAGAAAAACAACCAACCAACCAAATCCAGTTACCAGGCATCGGATATGCTGAGACACTCATCGTTGCATATTACTCATTTCATTCTTGAAAAAAATCTTAACAGAACAATTATTTATTACAAATATCAGAAAACATGCCATCTGTTTTACACTTGTACACAATTAATTTTAATCTATAAATAACAATTATTATGCATGTGTAATAGGTTACTGCATGTGTAATGTTTAGTAGTATACTATTGTTTGTTACTGAACACTATTATGTAAAGAATAATTGTTGATGTATCATTCATTGATTTTTTAAGCATATGTTAGATGTGACACAAGGCTGAATGTACGGGGCAGCCAGTGAGGATCGAACTCACTATTCAGTTGTAACTGATCTAGCGAGACAAGCTTACTAACCATTACACCATGTCGAAGTGACCCCGCAATGTACCATATGTTAAGCTTTGTAAATATCATGGAGAATATTTTTTAATCATTCCATATCCCCGTGTTTTATATAGTGCAAAAATAAATAAAATCTGTATTCTTTCAGTATTCACACTAGCATCATACTTATAGAAGAACCACATTTTTAAAATTGGCATGCTTTTATACCGCTCCGCCAC